ACACTATATGAAAATAAAGAAACCACATCAGAATTCTAAAATTATTATAATCCCTTATCATTTTTTATAAATCTAGATAAAGAAAAAAAATACTTAACATGGGTATGGTCTGAAAAACACAAAAACATACTTTTTTTTTTAACAAAAATGGAAGATTAAAGAAATAAAATGACAAATTTTCTAAATTTGTGCGTACCAAAGGTTTAAAATTTCAGGAAGAATCAATGGTTTGAAATTGTACTACCGATAGTGTTTAACTCGAAAAAATCAAAGAAAAATTTGATGGGTAATCTTAGGGTTTATACAATATAAAATATGAGTGAGATTAGATTTTTAAAAAATACAAGAAATTAAGAAGATGGAAGATGAAAAGCAAAAAATTTGCCTAATGGCCCTCAAATGATTTGTAAAAGTTTCAGTGGTAGTCGACGATGGAAGCAGTATCGTAGAGAAAGGTAAGAAAAGACAAAAAACAAGTAGTCAAAAAAGTCTTTTAGTTTTGGATAGGTTAAAAAGTTACCGTTAGAAATTTGATATAAAATTTGAATCTGCTTCAATTTAGGTCTAGAATAAGTTTTGTCTTGATTTAGTATGAGTTTGAGCCAATGGTTGGAGAAGTTTTTTAGACCATTTTGACTCAAATTTAAATTTGAGTCCAGATTGAAGATGCTCTTAACATATTTTAATTGACATTGAATTAAGGGATAACAATTTCCAAAATAGGAAATTAATTTAACCTTTTTTTAATGAATGATATTTTAGAGTTTAAAAAAAATAGTGAACTTAACTATTTATTAATAAGATTAAAAACAGACTTATCTCTAAACAATTTTTCTTGACGGATTAAATTCATTATAAGTCAATTGAGGTAGATTCAGCCTCAATTTTCACTTTTTAATATATTAAGGTACAGTACAAGAATTCTCATCTTGAAGGGTGTAAAGTTAGAAAAACTTAAATCTTTTTGAGATGCAAAATGAAATTCTCCCTTTGTAGGTCTTGCCATCTACTGCCATTAACAGTTAGGGGAAGGAATTGGGTCAATGGGTCACTAGTTTAACTATTGTGCCACTAGTTGAATTGGTTATATAATAAAAAAATAATAATAATTATAAATAAGCTAAAAAATCACAATAATTATGAAAATAGAATGCTTAATGTCTATAAGATCAAATAAAAAACTCAAAATCATCAAACATGTATCCAATTCATTCAATTTCATATACAACTTGTAAAATTAAAGCATCAAAACCAAAAACTCACAATTAATTGAAATAGGCTAAAATTTATACAAATATAAATCAACTAATTTTGAAATGTAATAGTAGAAGCAGACTAACAGGTAAAGAGAGAGTGGGGGTAATACCCGTGAGCTGAATATCTGTTTTTTTTTTTTTTTGAGCAAGTAGGTTGTAAATTCATTTAAGTATGAAAATGTTGGTTACAATCAAAGGAAAATAAAAGCCTTAAACTCAATAGGGGGCAACTGACCTAATTCACAACAAAAGAATCGAACAACGTCGTTGCGGCCACTCAATGAGCTGCCCTATTAAGGGCTCTTGGCTTGTGTAAAAACATAAGATGTAGGTGTCTAGCAAAAAATTTAATATCCCCCACAAAGGCATTGATTTTCGATGGAGGGACCCCTTCAATTGAGCTGAGCGTGATCACCTCCTGACAGTGTTTTAAAACCCGGCCCGGACGTCAACCCAGTAAAGGAACCGGGTTGGTGGGTTACTGGTTCAACCATTGAGTCATTGGTCGGACCGGTAATATAATAAAAATAATTATAAATATTAATAAATAGGCTAAAAATTACAATAATTCTAAACATAACATCAAACATATAAAGTTAAGTAGAGAAAAATCATCAACCATGTATACAATTTCAATGCATTCAAACTGATAATGCAACAATATTAGATTTCTAGAAATAGGAANTTTTACGAGATCTGTAAAACCATATTTGGATTTAACAAGATCTATAAAACCATATTTTGTTTTAACAGAAATTTCTTTGGTTATTTGTTATTATTTTGGTATTGTGTTTGTGTTCTTNAATCATCAACCATGTATACAATTTCAATGCATTCAAACTGATAATGCAACAATATTAGATTTCTAGAAATAGGAATCAAAACGCATTTTGATTGTTGTAACAAACAGAGTCAGACAAATACAAATTATTCAATGACACTGATCAAACAGATCCAGGAAAACAGAGAACCACCATATCACAAAACTCTCACTCACACAAACTACAGATACAAAAACATAAACATATATTTAAATAATAAAGTATAGCTGAGTTTGAATCCAGAGACAAATAGAGATTCAGATCGTTTTGAAACAAAACATAAACACATTCAACAGACAATATACAACGTAATTTTAACATAAAAGACGGTTCAGATCATCTCATAAATACTGATCTGACGATCATAATTGAACTTAACTCTAACACTTCTATCTCTCATATAACTCTTTCTCTCTCTCTCTCTCTCTCTTATCTCTTAGACATTATAAATACCCTATCTCATCTTCTCTTTATTTCTCTCTCTCTCTCTCTCTCTCTCTCTCTCTCTCTATATATATATATATATATATATATATATATATANCTTATCTCTTAGACATTATAAACACCCTATCTCATCTTCTCTTTATTTCTCTCTCTCTCTCTTTATATATATATATATATATATATATATAATAAAGTAGCTAAATTTTTTTGTCTTTAGCTTTTCACGGCTCAGATCGCTTGACGATCATTGATCTGACGGTTCTCATGCCAACTTTTTCCAAGACTTCTATCGCTCATCTAACTCTCTTTATATCTATTTTATACTCTCTCTCTCTCTCTCCATATTATTATCTTATTTTTTTTTTGTTTTTCAAGTGGTATTTTTTTATTATTTACTCCATAAAACATATGAAACTACATATTATGCAATTATTTATTCCATGAAATTATTTCAAATTTTTATATATTTGATAACATGTATTTTGTCACTTGCTTCTTAATTTGTAAATAACACTTAATGTAAATAAAAAATAGCACTTCACAATTTAAGAACTTTTTTATCTAAGTTTCGCATATTTGCCTAAAATTATGTCCTAATTGATTCAGGGCCTAAATTCTTCTAAAATTCTCATTGATAATGATTTTTATATAAATTATTTTTTTAGTTTTTTTTTAATATTTGCTCTATTTGTAATAANGCCTAAAATTATGTCCTAATTGATTCAGGGCCTAAATTCTTCTAAAATTCTCATTGATAATGATTTTTATATAAATTATTTTTTTTGTTTTTTTTTAATATTTGCTCTATTTGTAATAATTTTGGTACTAAATTTTTAAAAAAATTTTGAACTATCATTTTTTTAAAATTTTTTGTCAACTTTTTAATTTACTTTCACTTATTTTCATGTGAACCAGAAATTTTTGAGTTTAACAAGTGGGTATGAGCGATTCTTTTAAAAAAAATGGGGGTGAAAAATTGGTTTGATTTAAGTATGTGTGGTTGAATCTTGACCAAAAGAAAATTTATCAAATGATATAGTAAGAAAAAATACGCTACGAAGTGAAAAAATATGTATTTAAATTTTATGGGTTAAAATACAAATTTTTAAGTTTATATGCAACAAAAAAATTATAATTTAAGGTCAATTTCATGTTGATTTAATCAACAATAAATAATATTTAACACGAAATGAACCTTAAATTGTAAATTAATATATATTTTTAATCAAAAATTGACATTTAATTTTGTTCAATTTATATTCAACTTTGTCGAATTAATATCAAATTAAGTTTTATTGTTATGAAATTAATATTAAAATTCATTTAATCAATTTTTTGAGGTACTAAATTATATCAATTTTTTGGGTACTAAATCAAATTATATTATATTTTATTAAATTTTTATTTTTTGTGTGTACTAAAGTTGGAGAGAGGCAATTATAAAAATAATAATTTTTTTTGGGGATAAAGTCATCACTTTTCGTTAGCAATATTGAAGGAAGGGAGACAGAGGGGGTCTCCGTGTAATAAATTTTAAACCGCAAGGATCTCCATGTTATTTATAAAATATTTAGAGGCGTCCACATAATATTGTCAAAACTCAGGGAAAGTCCATATTTTTTACCCTATTTTTTAATTAGATATTAATTTATTATTATTTTATCATAAAACTTGAAGTATTATATTTCTAATAAAAACAGTTATTGGTTAGGAAGGTTTGTTGGTAGCCAAAAAATAAATGTGTGAAAGTATATTTCTGTGTATATTTATATGTGGAGGATTGAAAATTTGATAATTAAATTTATAATTTTGTTGTTCAATTTGGGGTTGAATGATGATAGTGGTGATAAATTCATGAGTTTTATAAAATGAGTAAGATTTGGTTGATTTTATTTATTCTTTAAGATTGTGAATTTAATTGCGTTATATTAGTATTTTTTTTTTGTTTGAGATATTTATTACATGGGGATAAGGTGGATTGAAAATATGGTGATTGTGTTTATAATTATATTTTGTTATTGGATTGAGCGATGGTAAAGGTGATAAATTCATGTGTCTTATAAATGAGTAAAATTTTATTTATTACTTAAAGATTCTAAATTTTAATGGATTAAGTTAGTATTTTTTTTCGGAGGCATTTGTATATGTGGTATTGTTTTGAAGAGTTTTATATATTTTTACAACAATTCTATTAATATGAAGGGTATGATCGGTGATATATTTTGATTCATTTTAAAAGAAGAATTGATATAAAAAATTTTAGGCCATTCTTTTTTAGTTTGGACAATTGTGTAAGAATTTTTTGTTTGTTATATAGTGTCTTTAGACACAGGTAATGACTAATATATATATATATAGGTGGAGAACAAGAGAGAAAAGGGGGGAGGGAACTCACCTCGTCATTGGACTGGAGGCTGTGCTCAGTGGTTGGAGTCGCTGCTCAGTCGCTGGTGCCTCGTGGATTTGTGCTCAGTCGATGGTGCCTAGTGGAGTCGCTGCTCGGTCGCTGGTGCCTCGTGAAGTTGTGCTCAACCGATGGTGCCTGGTGGTTTGGATGGTTTAATTTAAGGCAAAGGGGTCTGGAACTCTAGTCGACTGGATGGATCGAGAGAGATNTGCTCAACCGATGGTGCCTGGTGGTCTGGATGGCTTAATTTAAGGCAAAGGGGTCTGGAACTCTAGTCGACTGGATGGATCGAGAGAGATGGAGGCGTTGCTCAGTCAATTGTGTTGTATCGTCTGGTCTGAATGATTTAGGGCAAGGAAAATACACAAAATACCCAAATGAAGAAAAAATCTCAGATTTATAGTACTGAAATTAAATCGGCCGGTTTGCTAAACATGTCCAGTTCTCACGAGTTCACCGGTTTTTAACCGGTTCAACGGATTTATCCTGGATTTCTTACATAAATGGTCTTTTAATAAAACTGGCCCAGTTAGGAGACCGGTTTACATGGTTGACCCGTCGGTCCAGGGCAGATTTTAAAACACTGGCTCCTAGTTCTATTAATATGGAGGGTATGATCGGTGATATATTTTGATTCATTTTAAAAGAAGAATTGATATAAAAAAATTTAGGCCATTCTTTTTTAGTTTGGACAATTGTGTAAGAATTTTTTGTTTGTTATATAGTGTCTTTAGGCACAGGTAATGACTAGTATATAAACACATATAGGTGGAGAATAAGAGAGAAAAAGGGGGAGGGAACTCACCTCGTCATTGGACTGGAGGCTGTGCTCAGTGGTTGGAGTTGCTGCACAGACCCTGGTGCCTCGCGGATCTGTGCTCAGTCGCTGGTGCCTCGCGGATCTGTGCTCAGTCGATGGTGCCTAGTGGAGTTGTTGCTCAGTCGCTGGTGCCTCGTGAAATTGTGCTCAATCGATGGTGCCTGGTGGTCTGGATGGCTCGATTTAGGGCAAAGAAGTCTGGAACTCTAGTCGACTGAATGGATCGAGAGAGATGGAGGCGTTGCTCAGTCGATTGTGTTGTATCGTCTAGTCTGAATGATTTAGGGCAAGGAAAATACACAAAATACCCAAATGAAGAAAAAATCTCAGATTTATAGTACTGAAATTAAATCGGCTGGTTTGCTAAACATGTCCAGTTCTCACGAGTTCACCGGTTTTTAACCGGTTCAACGGATTTATCCTGGATTTCTTACATAAATGGTCTTTTAATAAAACTGGCCCAGTTAGGAGACCGGTTTACATGGTTGACCCGTCGGTCCAGGGCAGATTTTAAAACACTGGCTCCTAGTTCTATTAATATGGAGGGTATGATCGGTGATATATTTTGATTCATTTTAAAAGAAGAATTGATATAAAAAAATTTAGGCCATTCTTTTTTAGTTTGGACAATTGTGTAAGAATTTTTTGTTTGTTATATAGTGTCTTTAGGCACAGGTAATGACTAGTATATAAACACATATAGGTGGAGAATAAGAGAGAAAAAGGGGGAGGGAACTCACCTCGTCATTGGACTGGAGGCTGTGCTCAGTGGTTGGAGTCGCTGCTCAGTCGCTGGTGCCTCGTGGATTTGTGCTCAGTCGATGGTGCCTAGTGGAGTCGCTGCTCGGTCGCTGGTGCCTCGTGAAGTTGTGCTCAACCGATGGTGCCTGGTGGTCTGGATGGTTTAATTTAAGGCAAAGGGGTCTGGAACTCTAGTCGACTGGATGGATCGAGAGAGATGGAGGCGTTGCTCAGTCAATTGTGTTGTATGTCTGAATGATTTAGGGCAAGGAAAATACACAAAATACCCAAATGAAGAAAAAATCTCAGATTTATAGTACTGAAATTAAATCGGCTGGTTTGCTAAACATGTCCAGTTCTCACGAGTTCATCGGTTTTTAACCGGTTCAACGGATTTATCCTGGATTTCTTACATAAATGGTCTTTTAATAAAACTGGCCCGGTTAGGAGACCGGTTTACTGGGTTGACCCGTCGGTCCAGGGCGGATTTTAAAACACTGGCTCCTAGTTCTATTAATATGGAGGGTATGATCGGTGATATATTTTGATTCATTTTAAAAGAAGAATTGATATAAAAAAATTTAGGCCATTCTTTTTTAGTTTGGACAATTGTGTAAGAATTTTTTGTTTGTTATATAGTGTCTTTAGGCACAGGTAATGACTAGTATATAAACACATATAGGTGGAGAATAAGAGAGAAAAAGGGGGAGGGAACTCACCTCGTCATTGGACTGGAGGCTGTGCTCAGTGGTTGGAGTTGCTGCACAGACCCTGGTGCCTCGCGGATCTGTGCTCAGTCGCTGGTGCCTCGCGGATCTGTGCTCAGTCGATGGTGCCTAGTGGAGTTGTTGCTCAGTCGCTGGTGCCTCGTGAAATTGTGCTCAATCGATGGTGCCTGGTGGTCTGGATGGCTCGATTTAGGGCAAAGAAGTCTGGAACTCTAGTCGACTGAATGGATCGAGAGAGATGGAGGCGTTGCTCAGTCGATTGTGTTGTATCGTCTAGTCTGAATGATTTAGGGCAAGGAAAATACACAAAATACCCAAATGAAGAAAAAATCTCAGATTTATAGTACTGAAATTAAACTGGCCAATTTGCTAAACATGTCCGATTCTCACGAGTTCACCGGTTTTTAACCGGTTCAACGGATTTATCCTGAATTTCTTGCATAAGTGGTCTTTTAATAAAACTGGTCCGGTTAGGGGACCGGTTTATTGGGTTGATCCGTCGGTCCAAGCCGGGTTTTAAAACACTGGCTCCTGGTTATCGTTCTCAATCCTGCTGTGTTATAGCTGGGAAGAATTTGTAAGCAAACAAGCTTCTCTAATTGCTGCAGCGTCTGCATAAAGGCTTGAAACTGCTGAAATTTTTTTTCCAATTCCATCCAAAAAACCTTTCATTTGTGTCCCTCAAAACAATACCTTTAGCAGCCCTTCCGTCTTTGTAAGCCCCATCACAATTGATTTTGAGCCCCTTGGTACCTCTGGGTGGAAGGAGTTTTTGTCATGTTTGGGGTAACTGAATTTCTCCATTTTGCTCTTTTTTTCAACTGAGATTACCTCGCTCCACAGTTGCTTAGCTTTTAAAATTGTGGCTAGAGCATTGGGTTCTTCTTGAATGAAAACCATTTGATTCCTCCCTTTCCAGATTGTCCACGCAGTCATCGCAACTTTGCCCATGATCTCTAATGAACAAATTATGTCGCTAGTAGCTTCCAAGAGTGACGAGGCCCATTGCATAGCTGTCCCATAAAGGCTTGAGCTGAATATCTGTTGTAGTCGAAGAATTTGAGCACTTCGAATCTTCAATTGAATGTGCGCTATTGTGCTGAAAATAGCAAAAGCAGACTAACGGAGAGAGAGAGAGAGAGAGATAAAAAGGTAATACCTGTGAGTTGAATATCTGCTGTAGTCGAAGAATCTGAGCCTAAGAGTTGAGTCGAAGAATCTGAGCAGTTCGAGTCTTCGATTGAGTGTGTGCTATTGTCCTGTGAGAGAGAGAGAGAGAGAGAGAGAGAGGGGGAGAGAGGGGTTAGGGCGAAGCTAGAAAATTGTTCACCGTATATTTTAACAAACGTAATTTTTTTTCTTGTAATTGACAAAAATAGATTAATACATTTATATTTAATTATATCCTATTTAATTCTTAAAAGTTAATTAAACTTAAAAGACTAAAATTGCTAAGCATAGTATATACAAATGACAAAAAAAGGCTAATTATATTTTTTTACCAAATAAAGCCTAATCAAAATTATTTAAATTTGATTTCGATGAATTTTTATGCGTCGAAAGTCTTGCATTAACTTTATTATTATTTATATTCACAATCATATTATTACTTAACTATTTATTATTTATTCGACTACATAATAAAATATATTCTCTATCATATAAGTAATAATTACTAAAATAAATGTTTAAATTATAAGTAGACTCATAAATATATCATACTTTTTTTTGGTCTTGATTAAACAATAGTGTGAGCACAATTTAATATATTAAAAAAATGCTTAAAATATATAAAAATAATTTTAAAAAAAAAAATTCAGGGTGGGCACGTGACCTTGGACATAAGGTGGCTCCAGCCCTGAGTGGGGTGGTCAATCACCTCGTCAAAGCATAAAAGAAACAGGTAGAAAAATAAAAAATTATATTTAGACCCTTTAAGATTTGTCATTTAATCACTAAAATCCTTTAATATTTGAAATATTACACATACCTTTTAAGATTTTTACGCGCATAACACTTAGACTCTGTCGTTAATATATACATTAACAAATTACACCCAAACTCCCTAAAGTTTGTAGGCATGTAATACTTAGACCCCTCAAGTTTAAAATGTTATACTTAGATAAAAAATATTCCAATCAAAAATAAAATATCAAATATTTTAAATTTTACAACCAAAATTCTTGTTCTATTATTACATTTACTGAAATAAAATCAAAAATAATTTTTTTTAAAAAAAATCATAATTATTATACAATTATACTATCTATTAGAATTTAATTGGTTGTTTAAATTACCAAATTAAATTACCAAATTATCGCAATTAAAATTAGAAGATATTGTGTTCATTACAGTTTTACCCACCTTATTTGATTTTTTAATTTTATTCTAATAGATAGTATAATTGTATACTAATTATGTTTTTTTAAGAAAAAAATTAAATTTTGATTTTTGATTTTATTTCAATAAATGCAATAATAGAACATGAATTTTGGTTGTAAAATTCATATTCTATTATGAATGATTTAGAACCCTTATTTAATTTTTTTTTATTTTATTCCAATAGATAATATAATTATATACTAATTATAATTTTTTAAGAAAAAATTGAATTTTTATTTTTGATTTTATTTCAATAAATGATACAATATAATATGAATTTTGATTATAAAATTTAAAATATTGGATATAATATTTTAAACTTGAGAAATCTAAGTATTATACGTCTACAAATTTTAGAGGGTCTAGTGTAATTTACTAACTAATATACTCACTGTGGGGTCTAAATGTTACGTGTGTATAAATTTTAGGAGTCTTTGTATAATATTTCAAATATCAGGGGATCTGAGTGATTAAATGATAAAACTCAAAGAGTCTAAGTATAATTCTCCAAAAAAAAAAAAAAAATTTAGGCAAAAATGACCTAGACAGTTCTTTTTATACCTTTTGAATCAAATTGTCTGGTTCAAAGATTTTGTTACATAACCGGCCTGTTTATCGAATTTTGTCTGGTTACTTGCCCAAACGATCTAGTTCAAGTTCTGATTTATCGGGTCAACCCGTCATACTGTTCCAGGTTTTAAAACACTTGGGGCAATGGGCAATGCGGGCTTGCCTACTAGATCCGACTGGCTGATCCATTAAATGTCCACAAGGCAGTCCAATTGGAGGCCTGCTATTCCAATTCAATGGCCCACCATAATTTTTAACAAATTAAAAATATTTCAAATTTAAAGAAAAACAATTTAAAAAAAAGAGAATTACACCAAGACACCCTAAGGTTTGTTACTTAATCACTCAAACTCCCTGATATTTAAAATATTACACATAGACTCCCTAAATTTTGTTCGCATAAATATATCATTTAATAAATTATATTTAGACCCTCTAAAGTTTATAAGTATATAATACTTAGACCCCTTAAATTTAAAATATTATATTTAGACAAAAAATATTCCAATTAAAGATAAAATATCAAATATTTTAAATTTTACGACCAAAATTTATGTTTTATTATATCATTTATTGAAATAAAATCAAAAATAAAAATTTAATTTTTTTCTTAAAAAAGTATAATTAGTTTACAATTATATTGTCTATTAAAATTTAATTTAGTCATTTAAACAACCAAATTAAATACCAAACTACCTCAATTAAAGTTAAAAGATATTGTGTCTATTACAGTTTGACACTTTGTTTAATTTTTTTAGTTTTATTCTAATAGATAATATATATACTAACTATGATTTTTTTAAAAAAACTAGACTTTTATTTTTGATTTTATTTCAATAAATGAAATCATAGAATATGAATTTTAAATGTAAAATTCATGTTCTATTATGAATGAGTTAGACCCCTTGTTTAATTTTTTTGTTTTATTTCAATAGATAGTATAATTGTATACTAATTATGATTTTTTAAGAAAAAAATAAATTTTTAATTTTAATTTTATTTCAATAAATGATACAATAGAATATTAATTTGATAAAATGAAATATTAAATTAATATAACTAAATGCTAATTTGATAAAATTAAATAAAGAAAATTAATTTGATAAAATTAAATATTAAATTGATCAAAATAAAAGTTAGTATAATAGAACTAAAAGAGAGTGCATTGAAATTTCAGAATCAAGAGAGGGTGTTGTTAAAGTTGAATCTATTTAAAGGGGGTGGTGTTAAAGTTAGGTTTATTTTATAAGGAGTGTGGATAAAATTTACTCTATAAAATAGTCGAAGATATTTTTATAAATTAACCATCGTCATTAACGGTGTAACCTGACAATCATTAACAGAGAGTAATAGTGAAATTTCAAAATCGAAAGGAAGTGTCATTAAATTTAAACATAATTACAGGGGATTTGGATGAAATTTTCTTATATCTATACAAATATATATAATAAAACACATAAGAAGTTAAATTTTATCTCCTATAAATTCCGGAAAAAAAAAACCATCACATTACTCATTTCTATCACATGCTCAACCATTTAATATTTGATTAATTTGTAATTTAACATAGTTTTTATTTCAGATATTATTCATATACGATAGTATAAATCTGTTAAAAAAATTTATTAAATTACATATTTTGTGAAAAATTTGTCAATATCTTCAAAAAAATAATGGGTAAAAATAAATTTTGAATGATTTAATCAAATAAATGAAGGAAAGAAAAATTATTATTTAATATAGTGATATCGATTTTTTAGAACTCGAATTTTTTGTTCTATCGTGTCTTCAGACACGAGTTATAACTAGTAAATTTATATTTTACTTAGATTAAATTTTAGATCACTTCAAATTTATGATTTAATTATTTTTATAAAACACACAAAATGACTATAAAATATATTGTATAGAAATATCTAAAATTAATTGTAACCATAATTGTCCAACTAATTTTCTTGTTAAAACATTTATTTGAATCTTTGCTATATTAAAACATATTCCAATATCATTTAACTCACAAATTTTAACTTTTACATTTAAAAAAAAAAACTATTTTGTTAGCAACTCTAAATTTTCATTCTCTTTCTCTTTATCTTCAATAAATAACTAACTTAATTACATTTAGTTGAGGACTTGACGTTTTGTTAATTGAATTTTAATGTATAAAATCGAATTCAAAAATTCAATTAAGATTCATGAATCTCGAAAGGCAAATGCAAAAAAAAAAAAGTTCAAAAAACATAAACAATTTTTGATATTTATTATTATTAGTATTTACACTCCTATAAAATATATTAATAGAACCTAATTTAAAACGTCGAAAGCCCCCACATATGTCGGGCCGCCCCTGTAGATATCCCCTACCATTTTGTATAATTGGGTATTATATGCTAGGATATAAATGTTCTTCATTTTATCATTCCAATCCAAAGAACCAGAACAAAAGCAACCATTCATGCGACCGACGCATAACAGAGACGCAAAAAAACCCAGTGACATTGGCACAGATGAATGAATGCAGACGCCCAAACACAGAAGACGCGCCCAATCCACCCATCAATATTTTTTTTTAACTAAATAGTGTCTACACTTGCGTCAACTACTCCCTTAACCTCTAAGCCGGCCACCATAACTTGAGCTAATTTAAGGATATGTTCCCTAAGTTACAAGGGTGGCCGGCCCTTAAAGGGTGTGGAAAGCATCGAACTTGAGACCTCTTTATTTATAAGAGGACAAACTTGACCACTAAACCACCTCTAAGAATTACCCTTCAATCAAATATGCAATTACTTAACACAAGATTGAGATAAGTAATTGAACGCACAGCCCACTACTGAGAGAACAATATTGGAAAAATAGATAAAGAAAGCAAACGGTATTCACACATAAGTACTATCTGATACGTTCAACATAGTGTCCAGCTATATATTCATCTTGTGAAGAAAATTTTTTACCCAAAAATTCAAAAAATAGGAACAATGTAATAGAAATAAATAGGTACAAAGGTCACTTTGCAACAGTAACTATTAATAAAGTTCAAAAACAAACGGAAAATTGAAAGTTTGTTTGTTATCCATCCTCAAGACTCTCTCTATGACCATGCATGCATGAAGTGCTGCAGTATTTATAGTTGTACCTATGAAAGGGAACTTTACCGAGTAATGACACATTGCAAGAGGAACACTTAATGTCAGTTGTTACCGTGCCTTTTATCTGTGAACTGCTTGGAGCAGCAGTTGTTCCAAGGCCTTGACAATTAAGGACAGCAGCTGCTGCCATTCTCCTCTCAGCAGCAGCAGCTCTCTTTTCCCTCTCTACCGCTTGTGCGTGTTTCAATTCCTCCTGATTGAGTTAAGAGATAAATAGCTTAGATTTTTGTGCTTTAAATAGTCATGGTGGGCCAATCTAAAACTGACATTGAAAAAGATTTTTAAAAAAAGGGTGGTCATACAAGCACATTTCTGCAATGCTAAGACATGCAATAAGCTTATATGAAGGTGATAAAAGCCATTGACCTCCAAAACTCCAAACTATTATGCTTTGACACATTTCAAAGTCATGCAATAAAAGAAATTGAGCATTACTAGGCTAACAGATAAAACTAACCTCTTTCGANATTCTTTGCTATATTAAAACATATTCCACATATTCCAATATCATTTAACTCACAAATTTTAACTTTTACATTTTAAAAAAAAAAACTATTTTGTTAGCAAGTCTAAATTTTCATTCTCTTTCTCTTTATCTTCAATAAATAACTAACTTAATTACATTTAGTTGAGGAGTTGACGTTTTGTTAATTGAATTTTAATGTATAAAATCGAATTCAAAAATTCAATTAAGATTCATGAATCTCGAAAGGCAAATGCAAAAAAAAAAAATTAAAAAAACATAAACAATTTTTGATATTTATTATTATTAGCATTTACACTCCTATAAAATATATTAATAGAACCTAATTTAAAACGTCGAAGGCCCCCACATATGTCGGGCCGCCCCTGTAGATATCCCCTACCATTTTGTATAATTGGGTATTATATGCTAGGATATAAATGTTCTTCATTTTATCATTCCAATCCAAAGAACCCGAACAAAAGCAACCATTCATGCGACCGACGCATAACAGAGACACAAAAAAACCCAGTGACATTGGCACAGATGAATGAATGCAGACGCCCAAACACAGAAGACGCGCCCAATCCACCCATCAATATTTTTTTTTTACTAAATAGTGTCTACACTTGCGTCAACTACTCCCTTAACCTCTAAGCCGGCCACCATAACTTGAGCTAATTTAAGGATATGTTCCCTAAGTTACAAGGGTGGCCGGCCCTTAAAGGGTGTGGAAAGCATCGAACTTGAGACCTCTTTATTTATAAGAGGACAAACTTGACCACTAAACCACCTCTAAGAATTACCCTTCAATCAAATATGCAATTACTTAACACAAGATTGAGATAAGTAATTGAACGCACAGCCCACTACTGAGAGAACAATATTGGAAAAATAGATAAAGAAAGCAAACGGTATTCACACATAAGTACTATCTGATACGTTCAACATAGTGTCCAGCTATATATTCATCTTGTGAAGAAAATTTTTTACCCAAAAATTCAAAAAATAGGAACAATGTAATAGAAATAAATAGGTACAAAGGTCACTTTGCAACAGTAACTATTAATAAAGTTCAAAAACAAACGGAAAATTGAAAGTTTGTTTGTTATCCATCCTCAAGACTCTCTCTATGACCATGCATGCATGAAGTGCTGCAGTATTTATAGTTGTACCTATGAAAGGGAACTTTACCGAGTAATGACACATTGCAAGAGGAACACTTAATGTCAGTTGTTACCGTGCCTTTTATCTGTGAACTGCTTGGAGCAGCAGTTGTTCCAAGGCCTTGACAATTAAGGACAGCAGCTGCTGCCATTCTCCTCTCAGCAGCAGCAGCTCTCTTTTCCCTCTCTACCGCTTGTGCGTGTTTCAATTCCTCCTGATTGAGTTAAGAGATAAATAGCTTAGATTTTTGTGCTTTAAATAGTCATGGTGGGCCAATCTAAAACTGACATTGAAAAAGATTTTTAAAAAAAGGGTGGTCATACAAGCACATTTCTGCAATGCTAAGACATGCAATAAGCTTATATGAAGGTGATAAAAGCCATTGACCTCCAAAACTCCAAACTATTATGCTTTGACACATTTCAAAGTCATGCAATAAAAGAAATTGAGCATTACTAGGCTAACAGATAAAACTAACCTCTTTCGACATCTGTGTTGCACCACTAGATTGAGATTTTCCTTTAAGAGCTAGAGTTGAAGTGGATGAATCATTCTGGGATTGAGTAGCCTGTGCCTGCAGATTGATGTAACAAGGTTGTTAAAGATGGAAGACCAAATTTTGACAGATAAAGGATAGATCTTTGCTCATAGAAAAAGGGTGCTAGACAAACGAAGAATGAAAGACAATTGGAATGGTTAGGAGGGAGGCCTCAAATTTTCCATTATGAAGAGTCGTCAGGACTAAAATTTAAGATAAGAACCTGAGCCTTCTTTTCTCTTGCTTTACGTAACTTCTTCAACTCTTTCGATCTTGCCTTCTTCTTGGCATCTTTCTCCGCCTGTGCAGGAAAAAGGAAGATTTATTATGAATATATCAGAGCTAAAACTTAGCAGTGCATAGGTACTTTATTTCTTTTATCTGTTTTTACTTTCATTTTTATCAAGCAGCACAATATTACAGGCCTATGACCTATACACTGGAAAATTCCTGCAACACAAGACTCATAATGTGGCTCTCGTTTCATTCCCTTTCACTGCAAAAACAAGATGATTATCAATTACCACTAATTTGAAGCTGCCAATGCCACATATTCCTGAAGGTAAAGCATGTCATCATGTTGAGAATGTTCAGCAGTATCTTGGAGCATTCAGATTACGAAAATGCATGAAATTGTGAAGTTAAACATATAACAGAACCACTTGAGCTACAAGTCAAATCTTAGTAAAGGTACACCAGATTACCTGCTTAGCAGCTTGAGATTCCTCCATCTCTGTTGTCAACGCACTAGGCACTTTTGCAGCATGCCAATCCCACTTATCCATGTTTGAAGCCATGAACCTTCTAAATGTATTCCTCACTTCCTTATCCGTTGCAAGCACATAAGGAGTCCGCCCCCTTTCCTCTTTGATGCACGGATCCAGACCCTGTTCTAGGAGTTCCAATACTTTTTGAGCATTGCCAGACTTTGCTGCTTCATGTAAAGGTGTCGAAATACCATTAAGTTCACTCTCACTCTCACTTGATATGTCAGATTTTTTGACACCTGAGCATGCTTCGACAGTTTTCCTACTTTCCAAATTATCCATCAAGTCCTCTTTGCTGGACCCTGGGCAGCCATTGTTCACAGTGCTTGCACTTAGTAGTGACTCCCCTTCTATATTAGGTGTGGTTTCCTCATCTATTTCATAAGATACTTGTGTCAATAGATTATATATTCGCCGGGCTTCCTTAAAGGTAGGCCTTCTGACGGTCAAAGGAACATGTCGAACAGCATGATGNCAGTTTTCCTACTTTCCAAATTATCCATCAAGTCCTCTTTGCTGGACCCTGGGCAGCCATTGTTCACAGTACTTGCACTTAGTACTGACTCCCCTTCTATATTAGGTGTGGTTTCCTCATCTATTTCATAAGATACTTGTGTCAATAGATTATATATTCGCCGGGCTTCCTTAAAGGTAGGCCTTCTGACGGTCAAAGGAACATGTCGAACAGCATGATGCTGACAGCTGACATATGGTCTTTCTCCATCAAAAAACAGTTGACGATTGTTTGAAGGCGCATAAATGAAAATGCAAGAGGAAGCATCAAAATAAAGCTTCCATGCCGCAAGTAATTCTTGTATGTCCTGATCATTGAAAAGATGATAATCAGACAAGAGTAATAGAACAGTCCCATGTTGTCTGTTGTCAGTTAAACACTGTCCCAAACTGAAATGCTTTTTTTTTTTTAAAAAAAAAACTCTAAAGCTGAGAGCTAAGGGCGATAAGAGAAAAACAACATGCAGAAACATAGGCAAACTGCAGGGACAAGATGAATGTCATTGCTTAGTAGATATCACCAACTACTTTTAACTTTTTTGGTCCACGGGGCATAACATACNATAATCAGACAAGAGTAATAGAACAGTCCCATGTTGTCTGTTGTCAGTTAAACACTGTCCCAAACTGAAATGCTTTTCTTTTTTTTTAAAAAAAACTCTATAGCTGAGAGCTAAGGGCGATAAGAGAAAAACAACATGCAGAAACATAGGCAAACTGCAGGGACAAGATGAATGTCATTGCTTAGTAGATATCACCAACTACTTTTAACTTTTTTGGTCCACGGGGCATAACATACCACCAAAAACAACAGGTGATGAATGTCCTGGAGAACCCCCAATACAAACACACAAAAACATAAAAAGCGCATTCCAGTGCACTGAAGCCCCCGCCACAGCATGGTTTGGCAGGGTCATATGTATTATGCATGCTACAAAAGCTGAACTAAATTAAACTACGTGGTACAACCGCCTAAAGATTTCACCAAGCTAGCTACCACATTTGTAAAGCATATCATTGACATGGACAAAAACAGAGCAAATGAGTCCTAATCCTTGGGTGATACAATAAATGTAATTTTTTGTTAAATGAACTAAAATATGATGGATGTGGTATACTATGATGTTTGTTTAATCTCAATGATCATCCATCCCTTACCTTTTTTAGAGCAAGCTCATTATACCGACGCAGTGCAGCTCCGGCGGAATGTGCAATCTTGCCGCTACCATCTTTTGATGACTGTTTTTTACCAGCCTTGGCCCGTACAACATATCTACACAGCAAACAAGAGTTTCAAAGCTTCATCTCATGTCCCCTCTATTCCACGGAAGACATTGATGGTGGACAACCAAAACTAAACCAATCACATGTGAATTGGATTTTTCACGAAGTAAGCCATATCAATTATCATAATATTTCATGACCCGTGTTAAAATAAAAATAATTGTAACTATGATGATAACAGTAGTAGCATAAGAAAAAATAGTGACATGATGACAAAGAAACAACAATAAATGCATCAGAAATTGCCAACACCTCAACCTAATCTGTAGGGAACCCTGACGAAGAATCTGAATTTACTCCCTCCAGCCCCTAATTACAGGTTTACAACCTAAATGGCAAAGTTACGTAGAGAATAAGTAAGCGGGAGAGTCACTCAAACCACAGTGAGGATTCCCAACCTTAAGTGTTCAAGTAAGGTGGTGGAGGGGGAATCCAGCAGCGAACTATGTGTGCAAGAATTTGCCACCAGAAAGCAAGAAGAGCCCTTCTGCTGCAGGGGCAATCCTGTTTAATGTATGGTACAATTTGCAGAGACTGGTAACCAGTCCCTCCCAATGCCATGAGGTGCCTCAACTGGAACTGTCAAGGGGTGGGGCATCCTCTGAAATCTAGTAAGAAGAGAATTCCCTGTTCAGTCTTCTTAATGGAGACAAAGTTAACTACTGTAGAGATGGAAAGCATCAAATGAAGAGTCAGAATGCCTCAAAATATCAATGTGTCTTTCACAATCAAGGAAGGAGTTTCTCTGCAGAGCTTGTCTGATTATCAAGCCCAAGCCATCATACAAGAGCATGATGCTAACAGAAGTCAGAGATATATGCAACAGGTAAGAGAAGTGGTTCCCAAAGTTTGTTGATAGCTCTTGAGCAGCACTCATCAACACCATGGTTGGTATAAGAGACTCAAGGAGACTGTCTCTTAGTCAGAAGAGAGGCCTGAGTCAACCTAACTTGCCAATGCAACTATATAGATGGCCATAAATTATTGTCAGTTCAAAGACTTGGGTTTTTGAAGGCCTAGACTATACATGGGAAAATGATCGACCCCTCCTTCAGCCTGTGAAAGAGAGGTTAAACAGGTATGGACAACTCAGGAAAGGCCGCAAGGGTATAGATGCTTACATGGAACCATAACGATGCTACAACATTTTCATGATAGTGAAAGAAACTTTGAAGATTAGAGGCTCAATTCTTACTAAGTTATTGACATGGAAGACAATAAAAATAGAAACTGACCTGTGGAATGTTTTATGAGCCACAACAGAGTTCCCATCAAAGACACAGCCAGCAAAATGCCCACCCCTTGCAAGCAACACAATCCGCAAACGAGTATTATCTCTAGGTTCATGGATCAAATATTTCAATTTTTCAGTTACCTCCCTCTCTGTCAAACTAGGCTTGTAACCACCATCATCCACAGCCACAGATCTATCATTCTCAAGTGAAATATATTCCGACTCATCGAGAACTAAACATTTCCAAACTGAAAGTCTCTCCCCTGTCCGCAAATGTACAAATATTTTATTTCTAACTCTTTCTCCCAATACTCTATGTAAATCATTGCGGAGACTGGATTCCTTATCATCATCATCTTCTTCTGATCCTGATATGCTTGATATGTCGTAGTCTTTGCATAAAGAATCAGAAGTCAACTCATCAAAATCTTCCTCCTTCACCGTATCTTTTCCAGCAATAGTCAGCTTTATCTGAAATCCAACGGTGAAAGATAATTCCACAGTGCATGATATAGGAACAACAATGATTCTGATAACATCACCCGGTAAGAAAACAGACACAAATTGCTTTATTGCAATGTACTGAGAGTTATGATGATCAATGCACGAATAATAAGGTGCCACTTATACAGATTTAGTATAACTCGAATTCAACATCCTAATTCAATCAACACCCTTTCCATAAAACACATTACCAAGTAGTATCTTTGATGAAACACAAAACAAAACAAAAAAAAACCCACGAGATAGAAAACCAGTAAGTAGGGTTTACATAATTGAAAAAACCGCAAAAAAGTAAACTGAATGAAAACAGCAAATCCCATCTACTTCCAAGTTTCTGTTCCCATAGTTGTGCAGGAAGAATAATTTAAAATAGAAAACTTCATATATGGTCTTACTAATGCTTGATGAGAACCTACTTGTTCCGCACATTTCATCATAATAAACAAAACAAACACGAATTCTAGTCACAGCTATTTGTTCCAGTAATAGTAATAAAGCAATCGACCAAACAAGAAGCTTTGTTGAATGATAAAATTCACCTGAAAGCAATTTGCAACAAAATAATTTCAATTAAAAGAAAATAACAACTGCCAGTGGCAAGATAGATGGATTTACATTGAATCGGTGAATGTCGGATTTGAAGTGAGAGCGTTGGTCCTGTAGAGAATCAAACTCGGCCTTACACGTATTACAAGACCATCTCTGCATAGAATTAACATTATTATTCTTTGTAATACTGCTCGATTGTTCGTCTTCATCTTCAACTAGGGTTTTGACAGGAAGGTTATCGAAGGGTTCGATTATAGAAATGGAAGATGGGGAGTGAAGAAGACGACATGAATCGAAGAAGTCAGATGGTAGGTCGAAGATTGAACGGTGTCGTTTTTCTTCTTGCTTTTGTTGTAGTTGTGGTTGTCGGCGGTGGTGATCGGTGGCGGTGCTGGGTTGAATCTCTCTCTCGCCCGCCATTGTCAGTCAACGAATAGTTTGCGTTCGTGTTTGGGCTTTGGGGATAAAATGTTCATGAAAATACACTTTCACCCTCTAATCTTTCTCCTTAAAACAATCAGATCCCAGTGGTTTAAGACTTCTAACATATAGCTAACATAGTTTAAAAATT